ACTGTCTAAATGCCAAGTCTTTTTTTTAAAACTAAGTTCACTTTCAAAGGCCGAGGGTTTAACTACAGTCAAGGAAGCTTCTATTTATTTTTTAAATAAATTAAAATAAAAGTAAAAAAAAAAGCTCATGTTGACAAGTTACTGAACTTTATTATATTGCGAGTAATTATAACTTTTAAATGTAACAGATATTTTAATTCCTTTATGAGATTTTGACTCTCCGGGCTTTATTTAAAACAAAATTTGGAATGACTTTGTTGTAGCACAGAGTTTTTGCAAGATCATGTTCAATAGATATAACTAAGAGATTGGTACGCCTGTCCTGACTCATTGTAGATCTTAGTGTTGTTTAGACCAAGCTTACTGCAAGACCGCTCTCCTTCGGCGATGCAAACGAGAATTGTGTTAAAAATACGTAACAAAATGCATATTGATTCAAAGATAGAATCTAGACCTTTTTGATAGATCCCATTTAATAGCTTCATTAAAGTGAGATATTCTTTTGGACAGAAAATATTGGCGTATTTTAGAATATCCATAGGAAACAAAAACTTTTTTTTTTTTCTGCAGCTCTCTTATTTGTTGAATTAAAGTATCGAGAGTGGTTCACCTCAAACTGCTTTTCATTGTTTTTGTAGAAATGAACTACGTTCCTTGCTTCTTTGTAAAAGGTTTTTCTATTCCTTGTCCTTTTTGAACTAAGTTTGACTGAAATCCATAACTAGCTAGACCTGAGGCAACCAAATGTGCTTCACTAATTAATTCGGGCTAAGAAGATTTAAATCTAGTAAAATCCTCGATAAAAATCCTCATACGCTTTATCTCATCATCTAAAGTAATGTTTTCTGATTAAAATGACACGCTAAAATAGTTAATTGCTTGACGTGCTTTGAACCAGAGGGTTGTCATGATAATAAACTCAAATGAATTAATCCATTTTTCCAAAGATTTTACGTCATTCAGTATATCAGCAGTTAAATCAAATTTATGAAATTTCTATAAAGAAAAAAGGGTTTCTCTAGGTCGCTTAACCAACGGCTTTACAGACTCAATGCGTGAACTTCATCGGGTTTGTGAGGTTTAATGAAGAGACAAACTAGTCGTCTCAGTCAAGATTTTCCATTGTTTAAGGCTTCCTCTAAAAAGATTATAGAGTAACTGAATCCGGCCAAAGTAGATCGTTATTTCTACAGAAGATTCAAGGGAATGAACACCAGCTAGGTTAAGTTTATGAACGCTGCATGGCATGTAGAAAGTTTGAGGATTTTTCTGTAGAATGGTTGATTATACTCCTTTGTACGCACCAGACATGTTGGCGCCGTTGTCATATCCTTGACCTCGACAGTTTTTCAAATTGATGAAATTTATGGATCCAAGACATCCATAATTATCTTGGCAATATCTACACATTTCTTTTTTCGAGATTTTTGACCCTAAGAAAGTCCTCCTTAATTACCATCTTTTATCAAAACCATGGTGGACAAAGCGAAGAACAAATGCAATTTGCTCAGTACGAGAGACGTCAGGCGTTCCGTCAACAGGAATGGAATAGTAAATTGCCATATGCGCATCTTTAATGATGGCACCGTGGACCATTCTTCTGCACTCTTTTATAAAATCATTTTGAGAACTCCAACCCAAATAATGGCCAACAATTTGTTTACCTTCTTGTTTACAGCAAGAAACCTCTTCTAGATGTAACTGAAGGATCTTGTTGTGCTATGCGAGTAGCTCTAGAGTTGCAAGAAAATTCCCGTTATCGTCATCATCGATCATTTTTGATGAGCTTAAAACGACAATTTTAATTACACACATAAACCATGGCTTTCTGCCTAATTACAATAAAAATAATTTATAACATAAATGTAAATATAATAATTAACATTCACAAATATACCTCTGAAACTATTATTGCGTGATGCCCTTATCAATTGCATTTATGATATTGTTAATTAAATTAATTTGGTACTTACACTTCAACGATCGAATGACTCCTTGATCCATCGGCTGCAAACATGAAGATGTGTTTGGGAAAAAAAAGTAAAGTGTGACCGTATGAAGATTCTCAATATTCGGATGGTTGGTGCAATTATCAATAACCAGTGTTACCTTATCCTTCTAATGCAAATTTTCTATCGTTTTCTCAAAACCACTCCTCAAATAGTTCAGAGGTCATCCAGCTCTTTTTTTCGCACGGTAACGACATGGAGTGCTTCTAATTCCTTTAAAGCAACGGGGATTGTTTGATTTCCTAATAACAAACATTGGAAGTTTTTCTGCACACATGTTAGCTGCAGCAAGCCCAGTTAAACTTAAAGACCATTGTCTTGATGTGCGTGGTAATAACCTAAAATGTGGTAATGACTTTAAACAAATTAAAACAAAAGAATTGGTTCGGTAATTTATTGGTTTATGGGCGATGGAATAGAAACGAGAGTTTATGCTTATTATCATTTTTTAGACAAATGACTGAAAAAATGTAAATATCAATGAAAAATAAAATGATAAAATACCTGATACTGTTTTAAACGATACTTTGTTTCTTTTTTTTTCATCTATCTAACCATCCATCGGATGCTTGAAAGTTGTCACAACCAAGATCTTTTGCAAAATGCAAAACTTTGACTTTGAAAATGGTTCCAGACACAGGAATGTTTTGGTGATGGGTGTTTAAAAGCCACATATAACATGCTTTATCCAAATTCTCATTTAGGGAGATACGTACCCGCCCTCTTTTCGCAGAGGTTTTATTTTTTTTGACTTCTGAATATATTTATTTTTTTATTTTGACCATTCAGACAATATTTGCTTTGGAATGTCATATTTCCTTTGATATAGATGCAGATGATTCTCCTTTGTCGAGTTCTTTTAGTATTTTGTATTTTTCTACTAGATAGCTTTCTTTTAGCAACCTTCAAAATTTTTAGTAAATAAAACTTGATCGAAGTATAACCGATCAGTGAAAAAGTTTAGTTCGTTAAATTATGTTTGACGCAAAAGTAATTAATTTTCGAACGTTCTAAGTTTTGAATTTTAATTGATATTTTTAAATTTTTAATGTAATAGTTATTAACAGAATTTAATCGAAGCTTAACTGAGTCGAAAGATATCCGTGAAAATGTTTAGCTATGTTTATTTATATTTGACGCAAAAGTATTTTACTTTAGAGCGTTTACAGTTTGGAATTTTTACTAAAGTATTGGAAGTTTTGTTATTATATGCAGTGGCGGATTAAGACTTTTTGGGGTCCGGGGCTATTTTTGTTTTTGGTCTCATTTGATTCCACAAGGCACAGCACAGTCTGATAAGAACGCTTTAAATGCTCTTACCGATATCACTGATGAAAGAGTCGTCTTTTGCAAAAATCAACTACAAATCATTCAACCTCATGGCAACTATCAAGAACTTTTGGAGTTGTTTTTTATTTTTTTGGGAGGAGTACCTTTTAGAAGCATTTCATTTAGAGCTCCTGCCGGTCTACACCGTGCTCGCTGGATGGCGAAAGCTATTTATGCGTTGAAGATTTGGATGTTTAGAGACCAATTCAGGTTGACAAAAAGAGAGGTGAAGGGAATAAAGGATATTTGCCTTTTCACGGTTTAGGAGCTGAGGTTGGTTCAGATCTCCTGAAGCAACCTCAGCTCCTAAACTTGATCTACAGCTCTTAAAAAACTTGAATGCCTACAAGACCCCGCAATTTTCAAAATCCTGAGATTTTGAAAATTGCTGTGAAGAAGTTACAAGGGCATCTCTGGTACCTATCAGAGGAACTTGTTGCTTTAGCCTTTTTTGATGATGAGGTTTGCCCTGAGACAAAAGTCAAGATGGTCCAAGCATTAAACAATGTTTCAGATCAGATACCTATGAAACGGGCTACTGTGGACTGCTCAGTTATCCAAGAAAAGAAACTGGAGGAATTTGTCACGTTTAATGCACGAAGATTTTTTAGCATCACAGGACTTTCATCACACTTTCTTCAAAACAGTGTGAGCTAATGGGAACATGATTATGAGTTCAAGACTGTAAATTCCTCTGTTTGAAGCATGAAGGTTGTCAACAACATTGCAGAACGTGGAGTAGCACTAATTGACGAATATAATAGACTACATTCAATTAGCAAAGAGCAAAAGCAGTTCCTGTTGTTTGTAGTTCAAAAATATAGACAGAAATATCCTGACCGAAAAAAGACAACTCTGATGAGCGATTTATCTTAGTACTGTAACTATTGTCTTAAATAAACCTACAATCAAAGTAAAATAGCATGTTTATTGTTATCTTTTAATAAATAAGTAGAAATGCAATGAGAGAAAATGAATGTTTTTAATGCATGTAATAAGTAAATAAATGTGTACCAAGTAAAGGAATCATTATCACCACTCTCCATCAGTTTTATGATTTTTTCCTATGTTAATGGCTAAGAGCGCATAGTAAAATATGCCTTAAATTTCAATGAGTGGTAGCGCCCAGTAAAAATGTTTTTTTCTTTTTGAAATATTTGCACATTTATTTTCTCACCAAAATAAACCATTTTAGTGGGTAGCCTACTAAAAAAAAAAAAAAAAAAATTTTAACCCCAAATCAGAAACACCGTAATGAATACTTAATAAATTAGTATACCAAGTGTCCGATTTAAAATTCGCATTAAAGATTTTTATTAAAACTTTACATCATTTTTTTACAGCCTGTCTAGTTTACTTCCTTCTTTTTAAACAATGTATTAAATGTATTAAATATAAAGTAATAGATAAGTTGTTACGCTCATAATATTAGCTATTTTGAAAAAAAAAAAAAATTATACTTTTGACTTTTTCTTTACCCGGCCAAAAAGTATTATTATTTAGAATCTTAAAAATTATTTAGGTGGTCAATAGTACAGCATATATGTTGTAGTTGTGACAGAGATGTGTTGTTCCTTAATGTTAATAAAAAATCACGCATTGATAGGTCTTAATTAATATCATAGATTTTTCATAAATTATATAAGAATATTTTCGACCTACCTCAAGTCAATAAAAGTTTATATGAACATTTTGTAAAAATTTTTACGATGCCAAGAAGATTTATGTACAAAGGAGCCATTTTGTACATAACTTTATTAAAAACATATGAAGTTCTAGGTTATGCTATTCACTCTGCTGAGTGATAAAGATATGTGTTATTTTTTTAATCTTAGTTTAAACCTTACAGGACGTTGCCATGGAAAAACTCAATTCAAAAATATTTTTTGATGCTCATAACTTATAATAGTCATAACTTATATGACTCATAAGTTTTTGTTTCTCTCTGATTGTTGTATAATAATAAATAAAAGATTTTTTATTGTAGTTCAAGATTTTAAATTTTTGATTGGAGCAAAAACTTCTAAATATAGCATTAATAATAATCTCCTCTCAATTTGGTTTTTTAAAGTACATCTTCAATCATAAACTTTAATTTTTCTTTATATGAAAGTTTTTGTAAATATAGGAAAAAGGCATTAACTATTTGTAACATCTCAGTTTAGTTACATTTTTTTTTCAATTGGATGTTATTTTCATGTGATGATATTTTTTAGCTGTCACATTAATAAACATATGGCCATATTGGTTTTTTAGAGGAAATATTTTAAAGCATGCATTTCTTTCTTTTCCCTCAACTTGACAAGTACGATATTTCCTGAAACTTGAACTTTTTTATTTAACTTTTTTTTTTCTTATTAAGTATACTTATTCAAAAATCAATTTTATTAGAACATTTTTGATTTAAAGTTGTGTTTTAAATGATGAAACAAGCGATTAATAATAATCTTTTTTGCTTTCGCTTTTACTTATCTTCGAGAGTTTAGGCATTTTGTTTGTTATTACATTTCAATTGTAAAACATTTAAAACATTCATTACAGATATATCAGTTTATGCCAGATTTTTACTTACGATTTTTTGTTATATTCGTCTTTCTAAGCTTGCATTTTTGGTAAGGTTGTATTATTTCAGATGAAACAACAAACAATTTTTAATATTATTTGATAACAAAGCACAAGGTAAGTTTAAACAACGTGTTAAGATACATCATAAATTGTAATCGGTTTATCAGCATTTCCTTTAATATCATCCTATTATTCATGACGCTTTTATTAAAAAGTTTATATAGACCAAAAACACCACGTTTAAAGGGTTGCATTCTACGGGTTTTGTGAAGATGAAATCTCATTAAAATTATTCCCGATCTTTTAGCAAACTCAATAACAAAAATGTCAACATAATTCTTATGGTTATTCATTAATAAAAGAACTTTCATCTGAAGTTCGTACTTTGCTGATAAAACATTGAAAAGTTGAAAAAAAAAAAAAAAATTGGTTTGACTAACCAAACTTATTCTCTATTTCTACATATCCGGCAGGATCACCTTTCAACATGTAGTCTTTAAATTTCACATGCAGAGGTAAGTTTCTATTAGTAGGATGTTAATTTCTGCAATCATTGTTACATTATTGTCTCTTTCTGCATAAGTTACAGCCTTTATTTATTTCTTGCTTTTTTTGGGGACATGATTTTCAATGGTACGTGCACTGTAGTTCCTGTTTTATTTTATTTCATAGCTTCATACGTTTGATGGCTCAACATGTTTTAAAACGTTTTTTTTTTTGTTTTTATACACAAATCTTAGAGTTTTTATATCAAATGCAGAAGACCTACATAAATCTACTTAAAGATACATCAAAGGTACAACAGTTTACCCTAAATCGTACAAAAAAAAAAAATAAAAAAATAACTCTAAACGAATTAATTGACTCATGAAGAATCTACAGCACTTTTGACAAACCATGTTTTAATAGTTTTAATAATACTTAATTAAATATTTTTGCATTCTTTTAAACCTGATTTTCAATACTATATTTCAACAGACCTTAAGAAACTAATTGCCCTTTATTATATTTTAGTTTGATTATATATGCTCTTAAGTGGTAAATATAAAAAGTTATTTATTATTAGCAAATATTATAGACAATGGTTATCATATAAATAGTTCTTACATTATCTTAGACATGTCTATGTTGTGTCATTGTAAGATTTAAATAAACAATCTTTTAAAGTTTTTTTAATTATTTAATCGCCCACTTTTTTTAAAAGGTAGTTAACTCTTAAACTGAGTGGCATTTTTTTTTGTTCCGTTATTACTTTGCAGTTGATGTACAGCAAGTATACCTGGTTATGCAGATGGTTTTTTAAACAACTCATCAATTTCAAGTTTTTTGTTGTATTTGCATCACCGTCTATAGAAATTAAAAAAAAAATTAAACTTATTCTCTTATTTAACATTTTGATGAAAAGCTGTGGAATCAGTTGTTAATACTTTTTTCGGGATAATTTTTTGCTATACTTTTAATGGTGCTACTAATAGCATTTTCTGGTTTTTCTCCAAGTGTTTTTTTCCATGTGTTTTTCTCCATGTGTTTTTCTCCAAGTGTTTTTCTCCATGTGTTTTTCTCTGTTTTTCTCTTTGTGTTTTTCTCTGTTTTTCTCCATGTGTTTTTCTCTGTTTTTCTCCATGTGTTTTTCTTCATAGAAGCATCAAATAAGTTCTAGCATAATTTTAAATCATGTTCCTGTTTCAACGAGGGTATTGGTGATGCAACAAAACAATTTTTAAATTGATTACTTGGCTCTTTCATCCAAACAAGTAGCATTTTCACTATTAATTCAGATATTAAATTATTACTTAACACAATAAAAACAAATTTCTTCGAATGGCTTAAATTATCTATGGCATCTTGATACCAAAATACAGCAGTTAACAGATTAATTTGCTTCTTTTGATAATGTGCTGACTGCACTTCATCTTGCAACAAAGTTAATTTTTTTTTGGCAAAATTCACTTAAAGAATTAAAAAAGCGTCTAAATCATTGTAAAGATTATGATCATTTAATCTTCATAAAGATTATTACGATTATAACTTCATAAAGATTATGATCATTTAATCTTCATAAAGATTATTACGATTATAACTTCATAAAGATTATGATCCCCATATGACTGACTGATCGTTTAATAAAGTAATACGTAAGAAATGATGGTTAAGACTTTGAACAGCTGCGGTAAAGATCATCACATACTCTTTAGTTTTAATTTTTTTTAAATGTATTCTTTTGGTTACTTTTCACAACTTTCTCCAATTGGTATCATTTAAAGCAATTATAGAACATGAAACATTGTTGCATGTTTTTCATACATTATTATAACAAATTTCGCTTCTTTTATCACATATATTGCTAAAAAGAATGTAAATACAATATAAAATTCAATCAAACTTGTGAAGTACTTCCAGAATAAGAGTGGTGTATTAGTGTTGTTAACAACAACAAACGTTTCTCGGTATCAAACTAGATAAAAAACATATGCGGTGGACGTAACTTGCAAATATTGATTTTACAACTGATTCATCAGCATAACTTTTATTAAAAAAAGCATAAGCATCACTAACTTTTATAGATAAAAAACGCTTTTAAAATTTTCTTCTTGTTCCTTGATCTAAATACAACGGTTATAGTTTTCCTGGTGTTTGACGGTATATATCATAACGCAAGTAAAAATTGTAATTCATTTTTACAGTTGTAGTATTCAATGCTATTTCATAATTTCTTTTTTCTGTGCTAGGGGTTTTATTAGGTTGTGTTAAAAGTTTTTGTTATCTTTCTGGGTGACTTTGGTAGCGTTGACTCTCTTAACAATTTTTCCGAACGAAATTTCAGATTTAAAAGGTGGTTATTCTGCTCTTTTTTGTTTATCCTCTTTCTTTTTCGTTTTTAGACTTAACTTTGTTTTTTTATTTGTTTTGATTCTTTTTCTTTAACTTCTTTTTTGCCATTAGTTTTTTTCTATTTAGCCCACCATTTAAACTCCTCAAAAGATACTTTAGGAGTTTAATTTTTAAATGAAATTCACGTAGTTCTAACTATCTTTTTTATGCACGTCTAAAACTTATTTGGTGTTTGCGGCTTTCATGCAATAGACTTTAGATGCAAAATTGGTCAAAGCCACCCCATTTAATGGTATAGGATTTCAAAATATGCATAGCGTTTTGATCTCAGTTTGTTTGAAATGTTTGTATAACTATCCTTTTATTTAATTTATTAATTTAATGTTTTTCATTATTTTTGAAAAAGTAACTAAAGTGAAGGCAATGGTATAAAATTCATCGGCAAAACAAATAATATCATTATACGCCGCTTAACTAAAGGGTTAACCAAATTATTTAATGATATTAACTTATTAGATTTAAAATAATTGAATGAGTTTTCATTTTAGAACTAAGTGTGCGTTCAATATTTGGTGTTCAACTTTCTTCTAGAATGTTATTTTTACTTAATAAAGAACATCGAGAAATTCATAATTATTTAATCAAATTAAAAGATGGAAAAAAGGCAACCTTAGTATTGTATTGAATGTCCGGTGTCGGAAAAACACAAATTGTCAAAAAATATTGTGAAATTTATCATAACTGTTATAAAAAATTTGTTTGGATAGATGCAGCATTTGGAAAGTTACAAACTTCAATATATAACATTTATCAAAAATTAGGATTTCTAGTTCAAGATTCAAAAGGTGATCATGTCGATATAGTAGTAATTGTTGAAAAAATTCACAACTATTATAAAAATGAAAAGACTTTGTATATTTTTGACAATGTCGACGATAAAAGTGTTCGAATCTTGCAATTGTACATTTCAAAGAAGTAAAATTCATTTACTTTGATAACCTCTCAATTGAGAACGTGATCAAACAATGTAAATAAAATGCTTATCGATGTTTTTTCTTCTGAAGAAGCATATGTTAAAAGTAATATAAAAGAAAACACAGATGAAAACATAAGAAACTTAGTTAAAGAATTTGGTTATCATCCATTTTCTAGGCAATACTCAGGCAATAAATATATAAATATACATAATATTTTGATAGAAAAATATCAAAAATAATATAGCAAATAGTATCAAATAGTATATCGATATAGATCAAAACCCTTAGAAATACTAGACAGTGATAACTTTCCTACCGAAGAAGAATCAAAGTCTGCAATAAAAACAATTAATTTAGTTTTGATAAAGTTAGAAAAAACTAAAACTATTCCATTAAAATTAATAAACTGTTTATCTTATTGCGATG